CGTAGACCGACCCTCGGGCGAATTAATTAAGCTTTCTAATTCTCAATGTTTTTGAAAGCCTAAGCGAAGCTGGGCAGCATGCCTAGTTTAGTATAAATAGCTTTAAAATATGAAATAACATTTATTCATATAAAAACACTAGGCATGCTGCCCAGCTTCGCTTAGGCTTTCGAAAACATTGAGAATTTGAATGCTTAATTAATTCGCCCGAAGGTCGGTCTACGACCTCAAGAGTTATGAAGAGGTTCCTCCGTGGACATTTTTTTTCGATTTATAGCTCATATAAGGTACCGGTCAGTCGAGGTCAGTTTTGACCCCCACATCGTAGACTTTTCGGCCAACCGGCCCCCGTGTTCTGTCGCACCAAGGCAAGATCATGCCAAATTTGAAGCGCCTGCGGCGCCGGGAAGTGCCCTATCGGACACCCGACAATCTAGATCTAGATTCCTAAAAGAATTTTTTTTTAAAGTTTAGCCCGAGCATAATAAAAAAGAATACATTAACCAAGTTGACTTGCTGTGTCTCGAACCCGCACCACCTGCGTGGTTTAATGTACACTAACATCTCCGCTATTTAGGCACCTTACAATATACGGTGAATGAAACACGTATTTTAAAATCTTAACTTACGCGAATATGCCTATTCTTTCAAATTAATTTTTTATCCCAAATTAGCCAGTTCATAACAAAGATTTTGTATAAAATAAATAAGTCTTTAAATAGTTTAGTCCTAATATAGAAATTTATTTTTGGAATTGATTTTAGAGAAGTTAGAGTCTAAATCTAGATCTTAGCGTCTACGTCTAGATCTAGTTATTGCGTAGATTTAGATTTAGATTTAGTCTAGATCTAGAATCTCTAGATCTAGAATCCAAATACATAAAATAAATTTTATGAGTTTAGGCCGGAAAAATTGTATTGTATACATTTCATAGTGTACGTAGATCTAAATCAAATTTGAATGAAATAGTTCATTTCTTTTTATTCAAAACACGGCAGATGACGTCATTAGTTAATGTATAAGCAATAGCAACGTCACAGTTTTATGCGTTCTTTTTCACATGTATTAATGCTTTTCCGGTTGCATAAATAATACTGTTTCTCTACATTCGAATACGCCTTTAATTTTTATTTTTCTTCTTTAAGTAAAATTGTGGTTATACATTTAAAACATCTAACATATTATTTTCAACAAAAGTCCGTAAAAAGTTCTCCATATATCGCTGCCGATTCTGACGTGATGTCCGGCGAAAATTTTTTGCGGACAGTGAAAGAGAGAGAGAGAGAGATGTGCGAACGTGGGGATTTATATATTAGGATAGACATGTTTCGCCAGAATAGTAACATTAGTAATCAAATAATATGATTCTAGGGCTATCTCAATTTATTTTAGAAGCTGTTAATTTTTATTTTATTTCTTCTTTAACGATATCACCGGCTCAGGAGGAGTCTCCCATTAGCCAGTCAGGCCTTAACACGGCAAACGCCGACTAACTGGCTTGGATATCGGTTTGAATATCTTGCATCGCTCGCTTCTATCCATTGGTTCTCACCAGGCTTATCTACCATCCCACTGAACGCTGGGTAAAGTCGTAACCCACCGTCCAGTAAAAATGAAATTATATAACTATTAATATTTGTGCAAGGAGTTGGAGAGCCGCAGGTTGCCGACCCATGGTCTAGGTTACACAAGAGCTATTTTATGGCTGTTTTTTAAATATTATTAGGGATTGTGTAAATGCTTTTACTTTTCTTTCACTCAATAAACATCCATTAATGAGTGGATATTTAAGATTAGTATCTTATATAAATGAATATTACATTTGGAAATGAATAATCTCCATTAAAATTTTTAAAATGGAATTGTAGAACTTAAAATATTCCCCGCTTTACTCCACAGATTAACAACCATAATTGGTTTGAAAACCACACGAATGTTCGAAACATTATAGAGATCTATTTGTATTGTATTGAAATATTACCGCTTTTTTTTCCAAGTATACTTCTTGTTGTAGATGATCTTGGCATTTTTAGCGAGTTAATACTATTAGTGTGCATGATGGCTTCATTTGCGTTTAGACTACGTGTTCGTCTCATGGACGACAGTGCAAGATGTTTCAGAAACTGTTTAAACATATTTTTGTTATATTCACATACATTAATTTGCTTTAGTGGCATGTTATGCGTAGTCCCTTTTGTACTATTGGCGTCAGTTTTGGCAACCATAGACACTGAACAAAAAGGTCGAGGAGTTATAATTCTGGTTCCGATATTTGCAATGTATGCTCGAAGCACTTTCAGTGGTATCAGCGACAAATATGCCAAGTTCCTGGATGAAATTATTAAAAGAATACAAGTTAATTCAAGTTCAGGTATCTATTATTAATTTCTTATTTGAATATACAAATCTATCATAATATATAAAAGACCATGTGCGCACTTCTCTCTCTCTCTCTATCTCTCTCTCTCTCTCTCTCTCTCTCTGTCCGCAAAATATTTCCGCAGGATATCACATCAGAATCTTCAGCGACATATGGAGAACTGGATACGGACTTTTGTTGAAAATAATATGGTAGATGTTTTAAATGTATAAACAAAATTTTATTTAAAGAAGAAAAATAAAAAATAAAAGCATATTCGAAAGTAGAAAAACTGTTTTAATTATGCAACCGGAAAAGTGTTTATAGTTGGGACAAGAACGCCGAAATCGATGACGTCACATGTCATATGTTTGAAGTACGGAAAGTACACAAAACCAATGGCGTCATCTTCCAATTTTAGAATACAAAGAAATGAACTATTTTATTATAGATCTATAGATTTACTTATCGAGACGTAATTTATGAAATGTATACAATTTCCTCTGCCAAAACTAATACAAATTACTTTTAAAAAAAACACCTAAATACCATTGAAAAGCCGGGTTTTTAACGGAGGCATTTAAGTCTTTTAATCAATGTGTGCATTTAATATGGTGTTGTGTTGAATAATTATATATATACTTTGGTTTTATTTTTTCTAATAGGTATTAGTAGCGTATGTTATTTTAAATGTGTCGGACTTTTAGCTTTTTAGTTATCTCTTTGCTTTGTCGCTAATATCTTTAAACCTGTTTTGACCAATAACTATTTTATAAAATATTATTCTAAAAAATGTATACCATTAAAAATATATCGACCGATAATTCACGTGTAACGGGTACCAACGGCTAGTAATATACAAAAAGCAAAGTGGTCAACTGTTAGTTAAGGCACTTGTCGGTTCCGCATGCGCTTCACATTTTGAAAGCTTTAACTTTGAGCGAACGGAACACACGAGGAAAATGCTTATCGGCCGCAAAGACCACTACAATATCAAAATGAAGCCGGACCGCTAATGACCGCCTTTTATAACCTTTATTATAAGAAAATTAACGTCAACGCCCCCTGCAATTTCGTAAGATTGTAGAATGACCCCGGTGGTATGAAGAAAAAATACTAATGTTCCCTATGGAAAAATTGAAGTAAGGTCGTTCAAACTGACCACAGAAACTATTTCCTTATATAAAACAGTAGTATTTAATGGGAAGGGGAGGTAACTTTATTAAGTGAACATTTTCAATGGATTGCATATTGATTTTAGGCAAAAATAATTTGACATTTAGAATTCATTAGAGGAATAATTTCAAAACATGTTTAAGGTTGCATCCCATTTAAATAGGTGAAAATAACTCAAATAATTATTATAATATAATTATTTAGTTATAGTATCGTCAAAGCATATCAAGTTCTAATGACTTTTGTTCCTAATGTTTCTTCTAAAATGAAAAAAATTACTGATTAAAACATCAAACTTTCCACATAATGTCTAATCACCAATTACCGGTGCACCGTCAAAACGGCCGGGGACGCAACGACCCCGTCAATATGATCCCGTCAAACCAACCCCTGACAAAACGACAAAGTCAAACTAGCCCCGTTAAAAGGGCCCCGACTTATTGGCTCCCGTCAAATGGGCTCCCGTCATATTAACTCGACATATAGGCTCCTGATAAATAGACTCAGGACATATTGGTTTCCGACATATTGGCTCCCGACAAATTGGCTCCCGACAAATAGGCTCACGACAAATGGGCTAACGACCTATGGGCTCCAGACAAATGAATCGTTTTACCACTATTGGAATAAAAGTAACCCTGTTGTTCAACTTTACTACCACTATAACCTCTTTTAAATGCCTGAATGAAATTGTTTTTCATGGACGAGCATCAATTCACATATCAATCGAGCCCTTAACAGCTAAATTTCATAAATCCTAAAATTTTGTTAATGTTTAATTTACAACAGTAAATACCTGTTGCTTAAAAGTGAGCACAGAAGTGTAAATGTATGATATACATGGTGTTAACAGAATAATGAGATTTTGTTTTCATAACCTACCGCCATGATACAGGTAGGAATGAACAGCTTGGACCCTTCTCTCCACACACTGAGTTGGAACAGCCTATAACCTACTCATTTATGGAAGTCATAGAGAAATGACACTTAAATTAAAACACTATTTCTTTACTTAATAAACTATTATAAAAATAAGGCTTGTCAAACAAGAGATGCATACGTTGTACTACTTAAGAGAGTTGGATAAGGTAACTTTAAAATATTACTGATAAAGAGATCCCTCGGGCAGATGTTATATTCAATGAGACCGTTTCGCCGGGAGACAGTCTCCACGGGAACTGTATTGACAGAGGTCCTTTTTTCGGGAGTAAAATTGACAAAAGCTTATTTGTCGTGAGTCGAAATCAAGGGAGTCGTTTTGTTGGGAGCCTAATTGACAGTAGCCTATTTGTCGGGAGCCTTATTGACGGGGTCTATATGTCGCTGGCTTTTTTGACGGGGTCGATTTGTCGGGGTCATTTTGACGAAGCCGTTTTGTCTTTTGCTTTTTTTAAGCCTATTAAAATGTTAACATAAATTAAAATTAGACATTTTTTATTTAGTGAACGAAAGATGACGTCAGAAAATAGGTTTATTACTATTGTAAATCTATATCAGTCATCACAAGTCAATGATGAAACCTTTAACACTAAATCACAAACAAGGCAAACCAATGCTGCAAATTACATGCCTGATGCAAACAAATGTAAACAAATGCATCTTAATTGTTTGTTGCTAATAAAATTATATATCCAATCATAGAGAGCGGTGAGAGCGGTGAGAGCGGTGTCAAGCCAAAATCAGAAGTAGTTATGTTTTACAACACCAAGAAACGGCCTTGTGTTTTAAAAGATTTCTTTTTCTACTGCTGTTCACTGGAACACCCCTGCGCACCTGGAAGTTTCTTGGTGAGTTATTTAAAGGTGGGTGTTTTGTTTTCACAAATCTCAAAAATATAATTTAATTTTGGTGAAAAAAATACTTTTAGGAAAATTCGCACGATCTGCTTTACGGCAACAATTTCGATTTAGTTTCTTGTTATCAGTCAGGGGAGATAATTTACGCCTTATTTGTTTGCGGCCTCTGTGGGACCGTAACTGTTAATGTTATTTTTTTTTTTGCTCTTCGGTGAGCAATGTTTCCCCGTTTTTCTTATGTCATGTGACCTCTGGGACTCTCGGTAGTTACAACTGTGTCAACTGGCATTCAAACCTCAGGCTGCTGATGACCAGCACAGTTGCTGACATGGGCATTGAATAACGAGTTGTATAGAGACTTAATGAAGAGCTATAGATATATCTATGTACTTGCAATTGTACTGGAAGTAGCAATTTATCGTATGCAATTAATAAGCTGACCCAGAAACAAGGAAAATAAATTGTATTATATATATATATACTAGCGTACCCGTCCCGAGTGTTGCCGCGGGGATAGAAGAAAGTTAGACGAAATATATTAGAAGGATTTCACCAACGCGTTACCAATCATATGTTCTTAGACGCGTGACCGTCTTTTCTAAAAGTGAGTTATTTAAATGTAAACAATGCCTGCGCTTGGATCATAAATATCGGGACACGGGTTTACCTACACTACCGCATGAAAACATTGAGTGTACATTAATCACTCACCGAAATAATATGATAGAACACACTTCGGTGACCGCCCGATTACACTACCGCATAGGAGCGGCGTACGACCCCTGGCTCCTTAAAACTAACAGGCGCCATCGTGCCAAATAGCATCCTGTTAATAATGATGCAGATTTCGTCATTCGCTAAACTGACACAAATGAACAGGATTTTTTTCTTTAACACGTAAAAAAAATTATTTGACGTGTTTTAAACATCAGTGTGACTGATGCAATATGCTAGCGTTACTAATGGTCTATTATTAGATGCTCGATCTCAATTTCTGACTGGATCGTCTAATAATAGATGCTTATTGCATCATTCGCAAAGTGACGAAACTCTACAGTAGGCTCCTCATATTCAAAAAGTTATTTTTTCATCTTTGGCAAGGTGACGAAACTGTACAGAAGGATTTCCTCGCGATACAAAGTTATTTTTAGAAACCTGTTGTAGTTTTACCGCTGAATATAGTAGTACCTCTTACTCGCTATGCAGGACGCTCGAATAACGGATGCCAAGTGCCAACATAGTCGCTCTAAATTTCTGGGCGCATAACCGTGTGTTGACGAAAGTTGTACCCTATATGGCGCCGCCCATAAGAAACTTTAGTTTTTTTTTCGCAGAAATATTCTCGGGAGTATTCTCATCTACTCCCTAAAGTTTCATGGCACTCGGATGAACCGCATCCGAGTTTTATTTTTTATATACCGTGTATAGAGAAAAAAAAAATCGCTTTCCCTCCTCCGGGGGTGCCGCCCTTGCAATATTAAAAAATATTTTTTGCAGAACCCTACCATTGAGTGATCTAATCATCTCCGAAAAGGTTCGTGGTACACGGATGAACGGTGTGAAACCGAAATAGACTTTTATTTTTATAAACAGTATATAGAGAAAAATCGCAAATCGCAGCCTCCCGTGGCGCCGCCCTTGAGAAATTAAAAAAAAGGATTTTTTTTTACAGAACCCTTCCCTTAATTGCTCTAATCAACTCCCCCAAAGTTTCATGGCTATCGGATGAACGATAAAAACCAAAATCGACGTTTATTTTTATATACCTTATATAGAGCAAAAACAAATTGCGCCCTCATGTGACGCCGCCTTTGCGAAATTAAAAATGATTTCTTGACAGAACCCTTCCCTAGAGTGTTCTAATCAACTCCCCAAAGTTTGATGTCGATCGGATGAACGCCGTGAAATCGCTATCGACGTTTATTTTTATATACCATATATATAGAGGAAATAAATCGCGCCCTGCCGGGACGCCACCTCTGCAAATTTAAAAATGTTTTTAACGCAGAAACCTCCCTGGGAATATTCTAAGCATCTTCCTAAAGTTTCATGGCGATCGTGAGAACGGTGTCACCGCAATTCACTTTTATTATATTTATATACTGTATGTAGAGAAAAATCGCACCCTCCCGTGGCGCCGCCGTTGCGAAATGAATTTTTTTTTTACAGAACCCTTCACTAGAGTGGTATAATGAACTCCCCAAAGTCTCATGGCTATCGGATGAACGATGCTAAACCAAAATCGACTTTTATTTTTATATACCGTATATAGAGAAAAACAAATCGCGCCCTGTCGGGGCGCCACCCTTGCGAATTTGTAATTTTTTTTTCACAGAAACCTCCCCAGAAATATTCTCAACAACTTCCCAAAGTTTCACGGCGATGTGATGAGAGGTATAGTAATGCATAAAGGACAGACACACACACACACACACAAACATATATATATATATATATATATATATATATATATATATATATATATATATATATATATATATATATATATATATATATATATATATATATATATATATATATATATATATATATATATATATATGAAGCAAAGTGGTCAGGTGCCCGATAGTCACTTCCCGGCGCCGCAGGCGCGTCAAATTTGGCAGGATGGTGCCTTGGGGGTAAAAAAAATCATATATATATGATTGTATGTGTGTATCCTGGGGGCGGAGCGAGTGGGGGGCGGGGGGTGCGGACCGCACCGGGTGACACCATTTAGGGGGGTGACACCAAGGCAAAAAATAGCAAAATATATAGAGAAAAATGATATTTCCACTTTATTAAGTTATTAATTCGAGTGTTAAATAGTCTTTTAAGCGGTGCAAATCGAAAGTTTGGAGGGGGGGGGGGGGGGTGCAAATCGAATGTATGAGGGGGGGTGCAAATCTCGAAAGTTTGTCCCTGTGAAGGGTCGCTACGCCTCTGGGGGATGCCACCACTAAGTGCCGCACCGGGTGACACCCGACCTCGCTACGCCACTGTTTGTATGTAGTGTGTGCACGTTTATTGTACAGCCCCATTCAATATTTACATTGCAATGTAAAATGACATAACTATTAAAATTCATGTTGTTATATTTTAAACAGGCACTTGGAGAAATCCTGGCTTTCGGCCTGTTCCTGCTGCTTGTGTTTTTCCTGATGATGTCATACACGGTTGTCTATACAGTAGCGCCTATCAACCAGACTACCATAACCTTTTTGACGTGTTCCTTACCTCTGATAGCCAAAGCTTTTTTCCGGAAAGAAGATTATTTTGAAGTTAACTATGAAAGGTATAATAATTCCTATAAATAATATTGCAATTGCATTTGTTTATGCAATAAGAAATTGAATTTTAAAGACTAACACTACAAACCTTTAAATAATATCACGTGATTTTTGTTAACAAATTATTTTGTATATGGAAAAATGACATTGTGAGTGCCCTGCCATGATATGCCACGTTTTATCCAAAACAGTTGAGAATGCAAATTACGGCTTATTTAAGAAAAATCTTAACATTAGTTGCAATAGAGTAAAATATCAGTAAAACCTAATAAAAACTCACAATTCGGGATTGCTATTTACTTAGTATTAGTATAAAGCATGTCATTTCAATAATACACAATTCAGATGCCATATTAAGCATTATGAAATATTTGTTGTTAATTTTCAATCTTACCCAAAATTTGAGTCCACGGTAGCTTGAACTCCGATTTGCAGGTTTGAAATGTAAGCCATAAAAAACGAAACTTCGGGCTTCAATTGTAGAAAAGACATGCCGGAATACAAATAGTGCAAAACAACATTAAAATTTAGTTTTATACTTAGCAAAAACTATATCAAATGTTATGTGTACACTTTATGAGGGGGCGCGGGGGAGGGGGGAAGCAAGCATGCACTATAAACTGAGATATTCTGACTAGGAAATTACCATACTAAACGTTGTAACATTCCTAAACACCATGGTAAGACGAAATTACGTTGTTTTTTTTTTAATTATTAGTGGGCCTATTTTTTTTTTACATCCTCTTCGTTCTGAATGAAGTCGGCGATACAAATAACTAAAACACTTGCTTTAAAACCCGATCCCTAAAAGACAATTATCTGCCTATTTATAGTCTATGGTCGACTAACAGTAACCAACGGTTCCTTACCATCGGCTAGTACTTTAGCTTGTTATCTCCCTTGCGGTGTCATCACAGACAAACTTAGCTGAAAAGCTTGAACGGAATTGCCGTCTAATGGGTCAAAATCGAGTTACATGATTTGCCACTAACCCCCAAACAAGCTAACAAACACACAAACAAACAAATAAACAGACATAAACTTTTAGATGCTTATAAAAATGTAACCCCAGGTTAGTGTATGCTAGTTTTCAGTCATTTAAGCGTGATTATTGCAATGGCAGTAGTTTTTGTGTGGATTTGAAAGTGAACCACGTGATGTAGTGATAAAAATTCTCTAAAATTTGCATTGATGAAAACAATACGTTTGGTGTTATCAAGGCACGGAGAGGCAGACAAACATCCCTCACTTTGCTTTTACATAATCGATTGATTTATCACCGTGTTGCTGACATGGTGTTGTAGAGGGAGGAGCAGTAGAAAGTGTTGTTTTTAAACGATATCTCTTTTATTTGCAAAATACCTTACCACAAATGTCACAAATTTAGTACTAATATTTTTTCCCAGTTTTCTTGAAGAGCTCTGTAAACCGGATCAAATGAAAAAGTTTTATGAACGGAAAACAATCAAGTTATACGGATCTACGTGGTGTAAATGTTGTACATTGTGTAGATATACATGGTGTACTTGTTGCTGCGCTAGGAGCAGTGTAACGGAAGAAACACGTTTAATACAACTAGCTTAAAGGAATCTTGGATACTAAAATATACTTGAATCCTTGCGTGCACTGGTAGGGCTATATAGAAACACGTATACAATCCCTGCTTCATGCCATAGCGGATTAAAGCTTGATTTTTACATTGATGATCATTGCATTTGTATTTTACGGACATTGCTGGGAGGCTGAATTTTTGTAACAATATTGTTAGGGAGCAGATGCAGAAACTAAAAATAGACAGTTAAAATTGTTATATTGTTGTATACCGCTGTAACTGCGGTATGTCTGCAGAAGTAAAAATTGTAATATTACCTGTATGCCTGTTAAAATTTATAGCTGAACACACTCTACCGTCAAACAGCCTTATAAACAGGTTTACTGTTATAATCTTTTTTAAAACTCTCCTAACAAACTGAGTTCATTTTGTTTTTACTTTTTAATTACAACTTTTTTTAAACATTTGCAATTGATATTGCAATAAAATACTTTTAAATATTATAGTAAGCTACGCTCTTATGCTATTAATATTACTTTAAGGATGAATGTTTTATTTTATTTCATCATATTTAAAATTATTGTATGGTTCATTTCTTTTGTTGTTGCCCTAAAGTCAAAGAGTCCATTGATTTACACATTTGAATGGAGGAAAATAAATACTACTCATTACAGACAGTGTCGACAGCATAATCATTTTTACACATAAATATAAGACGAAAACAGCACTTTTATTGAGATTTAATAATTCGGTAATGACAAAATAACAAATAATTTATTTCATAGTGGACATTGTTCTTAAACAGAATGGACGTGGACTTAGCATAGCTTAGCATAAAATGTAGATCAAGCATTGAAATATTTGACATTAATTTTGCTTACCTAGATCTTTAAAATGTAGTTTGTATGTTTATATATCATGGGGATGGTGTATTTTTTAACAAAAAAATTTTAGTCTAGCTTTTGTCTCACCATAAATGTGCCTGCAATGTTTTTATAGATACATAATATATAATTTTACATTTTTCATACATATTTAAGTACCATAGAAAAAGAATTTAGCCAATGTGTGTTCTAAATTTTTTAAATTTATTTCTAAAACAACTGAATAAATACCGAAAAACAAGAGTACCGCCATACGTGAAGTAGCTAAAACAATTTTTAAAAAAAAATTACATTGCTTAAACCTGGTGTCTCACCCACACTTTTCACTTTCGGATGCTGTTGCTTGTTGTTGACTTGTGATTTTTATCAATGATCTTTGTGCATCATGGCCAATTATACATTGAAATGTGAAAAATTGCATTTTTTTTCCATATTTGTTTTATCTATATCCTCCCAACTTTTATCTGATATATTGAGTCTTGACATAATAGGTTACAGAAACAAATAAATTAACTCTTCTTCCTCTGCCCTATTAACTCCACCCTTCCCATAAACTTTTGTTTTAATTAAGAACCTTCTTTTTATTGCATTACAGACATTTGGTCAAAGTAGGAACTTAATCTTTTTGAAACTTAGCCAAATGTCAAGTTGTTTATCTTTGTTATGTAAATTTAATTTTTTTTTTTCATTTTTATATTATCAGCATGCGGGACTATTCATTTCAGTTTTTTCTTTGTTTATTTGTAAATAAATAAAATTGGGTGATTAAAAGGTCTTAATGCTGCATTTGGTTTTGTTGATTTCTGTGCTATGTCAATGTTAGATAGAGAAAGTCACTTAAACATATGGGAATAAATCAACTAAATATCTGTCAGGACTTACAGAAATGAGAGGAATAAATTAAAAGGTACAGCAGATATGCGATTAAAATCTGGATTTTGTGTACACTAAATAATTATTCTACGCAAGTACAATCAAACCAAATTTGGTTTAAATACGTCTGAGTACATTCAGTCTGACTCACGTTGCTGGTATTAAATGTCTGTATGAAATGTCTGCAAGTTGTCAGTAAACAAAACATACCAATTGATGGTGAATAAATATGTAACTACGTTAGATTAGTGTAGATTCTAAATCCTGCAAAGGAATAAACTGAAGAAATTTCCATTGTACTTGAATATAAATTATTTTTGAATTACATAGCAAGATTTATTTATCTCTTGTATTACCTGCCTTATATAAATACAGTTTTATCCTCCAAATAGTAACATTTAATTTGCACTGAACTATTGCCGCTGGTATCACTGAACTATTACTACTATTAAATATACTCTACACGATATTTATCTATACAGTCACGATTCAAGTAAAACATTATTTCATACCTGGTAGTATACAGTCCATCCTGATGGCACGCCGCCTTGAAGTGGTGGGATGGCTTGTGTGCCCCAGCGACCCCCAGAGCTATGCCGGCGGGAGCCTAGTGCTCCTGGCAGGTCTAACCAAGTCGGACAGATCTGCGTGGGTAGGGGCCAGACCAAACGTTGTGCCTGGTCCTCCAGGTTGGGGGTTGTGCGATGGGCTAACTACTCGTCCACATAAAACAAAATATAGTTACAGAAACCGAAGCCAAATCTGAAATTAATCTAGTCCTCAGAAGAACCAGGGCTCCACTTAGGAGAAGTATGACGCAATGCAGCCAAATCCGTAAGGAAGCTACAGAGCCGACCTCCCCTTCTTCAACCGAGGAAAACTAAATCCACAGCCCCAAAACTACTGTCGCAAAAGAAACATCTCATTGGAACATGGAATGTCAGAATACTATGGGAAGCAGGGAAGTGTGCACAGGCAGTGAAAGAAATGCAACAGTATCATCTTACAGTGCTCGGCCTGTGCGAAACAAGATGGAACTCCTTTGGAGAGACAAAATCCCAGACGGGAGAAACAATGTTATACTCGGGAAAAGAAAATGAGGACGACCCACGAGAGGCAGGCGTAGCCTTGCTATTGACAAAGGAGGCAACAAAAAGCCTGATGGAATGGGAACCTGTGTCTGATCGAACAATTAAAGCTAGATTTGAATCCAGGTTTCAAAAGACCTCCATTATCATGTGCTACGCTCCTACGAACAACTCAGACGAGGAAGAAAAAGACCGCTTCTACGAAGAGCTTCAGTAGGTGGTTGATAAGGTACCCAAGCGCGACATGCTGATCCTCATGGGTAATTTAAATGCCAAAGTAGGCAAAGACAACAGAGGCAGGGAAATGGAGATGGGAACCAATGGCCTAGGGGAAATGAATGAAAATGGTGAACTCTTCACAGACTTTTGTGCCTCAAATGAGCTTACTATCGGCGGTACACTTTTCCCCCACCAGTGTTATCATAAAGCCACCTGGATATCACCAGATCATCATACCGAAAACTAAATTGATCATGTCGCAATACGGCGTCGTTGGAGGGCCTCACTGCAGAATGTGAAAACAAAGCGAGGAGCCGACATAGGATCCGACCACAACCTGGTGTTACTAAACTGAAGATGAAACTAAAGGCGAGGAAGAGGCAAAATGAAATTGATCCACGAAGAAGATTTGATGTAAGTAAACTTAAGATGCCAGATAACAGGACAAGTTTTCAGGTCACCCTAAAGAATCGGTTTGAAGCTCTACAGACAGAAGAAAAAGAGTTTGATTCAGTTGAACACACCTGGGAAATATTTAAGCAAGCCACTATTGAAGCCTGTGAAGAGGCTCTAGGAGGTAGAGCGCCCAACAGGAAGCCCTGGATCACAGATGATACATGGCAGAAGGTGGAAGAAAGAAAAAGCCTAAAGAGCGAACTAAATCAAGCAAAAACACGGCAGCAGAAACAATCAGCAGCCTCTCGATAAAACGAAAAGGCTAAAGAGGTGAAAAGGAAACTAAGAAATGACAAGAGATTGTTTATAAATGAAATGGCAGAGCAGGCCGAAACAGCTGCCAGTAAGGGAGATCTCAAGACGCTCTATGCAACAACTAGAGCTCTGAGTGGGAGGAAAGCCAGTCCCAACAGGTCAGTGAGGAGCAAAACTGGTAAACTTCTAACGTCAATTGAGGAACAATTGGCACGATGGAGAGAGCACTTCCAGGAAATACTAAACGGCCCAGCACCTCAAGATCCACCAGACCTGGAGCCAGGGGAATTGCTTAACATCAATACCAAGGAAATCACCAGACAGGAAATTCTCAACGCCTTAAATAGTTTGAAGAGTGGCAAGGCAGCAGGACCAGATAATATCCCAGCAGAGGAACTAAAGCAAGGTGGAGAAGAAGTAGTAAATCGACTTTATAAATTACTTAACTTGGTCTGGAACACAGGACAGATCCCAACCGATTGGAAGAGGGGCCTCCTTCTGAAGTTGCCTAAGAACGGTGACTTATCTCAGTGTGGAAAATAGAGGGGCATTACCTTGTTGTCATTACCAAGTAAAGTCCTTACCAGAGTTATTTTGGACATAATGAAAGAGGCGGTTGACCTTAAGCTAAGAGAGGAACAAGCAGGGTTCAGGAAGGAAAGATCTTGTACAGATCAAATAGCCACTCTTAGAATTATTGTAGAACAGACGATAGAATGGCAAGCCCTGCTTTACATCTGCTTTGTTGACTTTGAGAAGGTCTTTGATAGTGTGGATAGGCAAACAGTATGGAATCTGTTGAGACACTATGGTGTACCTGTTAAGTTAGTGGAAACAATCCAGCAACTTTACAATGGATTTTCATGCCAAGTTAGCCATGCTGGGAAGCTGTATAAAGAGTTCCAGGTCAACACAGGTGTGAGACAAGGATGTCTGCTGTCGCCCCTCCTCTTCTTGGTGGTTCTCGATTGGGTGACACGCACAGCCTATGCCAGTTCTGGAAAAGGTATTCAGTGGACACTCACGGGGAAACTAGAAGATCTGGAGTTTGTTGATGATCTTGCCTTACTCTCGCACCGGCTACAAGACATGCAAGAAAAAGTTGATGCATTAGGAGCCATCTCTCAGCGCGTAGGTCTGAAGATCAACAAAGAAAAGACGGAAGTGATGAGAGTTAACAACAACCAGGAGGCTCCAGTGTCAATAGACGGAAGACAGGTAAATGATGTGCAAGAGTTTGTCTACCTAGGCAGCAAGATCAGCAAAACGGGAGGCACAGAGGAGGACATACGTGCTAGAGTTAATAGAGCCCGCTGCGCTTTCACAGTCCTGCGACCCATATGGAAAAGTTCGGCTATCTCCATTACCACAAAAACTCGTTTTTGTTTATTCTTTTACAAGAATATACGAAAGTCGTTGTATCACAGAAATATTCGCGTAATCATATTTTGTCTCCTGCAGTGTTGCAGGTATCTGAGGAAACGGAAAGAGTTTACATACATATTTATAATTGTAATATTAACAAAGATAGCAAGCTGTATCTCCAAAACTATTTAAGTTCTCGGAAAAAAGTCAGCATTTTTTAAAATCTTCGATTCATTTTACTACTAAATGTGTTCACAGATATTTAAAATTATACGTAGGACCTATACTCGTTGTGGTTCTGAAAGGGCTAGGGCTAAATGAGTTGCAAATTCCAAGAAGGCTAACAAAAAATTTTAATAAGGTAAACATCATCAGTTGCCTTTCCTTACATTCTTCATATATTGTTATTCTTATTGTCGAATGATTCCTCTTATCTGAGCTTTAAAATTGTAATTTATTTTAATATTTTAAGAATTTTTTTTTAATTAATGGGTTCGCCAATCTTTACATTTCAAGAAATGTTGTAGAAATATAAGTACCACCATAAATGTTTTCTGTAACTAACTGCTTTAAACTCTAAACTCATAAAGCTGTGTTGCCGCATCTACACCACCCCGAAGCACTTCTACCGCCCCCCCCCCCCCCCCAAAAAAAAAAAGGAATTTATATAGAAAATATATACTTTTATTAGTGTCAGAAAGCTTCAAGTTAAAAAAAAATATTAATCTTTGGAAAGCTCTGGTCGTGGGCAACAGGCTATTTTAAACTAACCAAAGTAGCTGCTATCTTACCGCTGCCACTAACAGCACTACCTGCGGGGAAAAATAACTGGGTACTAGACTACCCGTCATCCGTTGGATAACTGTGGGTTTCGGGGGTCATCCATAAAAAAACATCACGTCTGTCTCCTCAGAGGCGTAGCGACCCTTTCCGGGGACAAACTTTTCGATTTGAACCCATCCCCCCCCCCCCCGCCCCGCAAGATTTCGATTTGCAACCCCCCCCCCCCCAACTTTTGATTTGCGCCCCCCTCAACCTTTCAATTTATTTTTCCAACCCATTTTGGCGCCCCCTAAAGTCGGCGCCCAAGGACATATGCCCTTCCCCCCCCCCCTCGCTACGCTACAGCAGTGTCACTTATCGTTACAAAAAAACAGACCCCACAATCAAAAATATGTTTTTTATCTTTTAAAAACACCGAAAACACCGATTTCGGACTATCCCTTCATATACTGACGTCACAGTTGACCTACTCAACTCTACTTAACCAGCCCAGTGTCCCGCCAAGTCTCAGACAACATGTTTTTATTGTTTAAAAAACTATTCCAGCCGAGCATGTCTCTGACCACACTATCCCTTCATATGCTTAGGACTAAAAAACAGATGAACTCTACTTCACCTGCCCTGTATCCCGCCAAGTTCAGATAGGCAACTTTATCATTGACATCTAA